GGGTGGGGTCTGTCAGTTTCCAGAATGCAGTAATCTGAAAATCATCTTAAAAGACAAATCTTGGGTTCTACAATAGTGATGTTAACTGTAGGAGGAACTGGGGAATTCACAAACCTTGTGACCTCTGGCTACAGGAATCATAAAAACTATGCCTACATTTAACAGAATTCAGGTCCCTCCCATAATTCTAATCTCATGACCTTTCACTAGGTTTTGGTCCCTGAGCAAGGAGGGGTTTATCTTTAGGGACTGACTATTATCATCCTTGCTTCCAAGTTAAACCATAAACTAAATTCCTCCCATGGTTAGCTTGGCCTCTGCCCAGGAATATGTGAGGACAGTCAGCATGTGAGGCTAGAAGCAAAGATGGAGTTAGCCATGAGAGATTTCTGTCAATGTCATAATCTTTGCAAACAAAGGTGGTTTCAGGATCAATGTAGATACCTAGAAGATTCTCTGCTGAGCTCAGAATTTTTAAAAATGTACAAAAGTTGGAAATAACATGCATAGGCAATAATGATAAGTATCAAAATTGGAAAAAAAATAACTAGTGCAAGTTTAGCTAAAACTTTAGGATAAACTGAGGCTTGAAGGAAATTAGAACAAATGACTAAAAAATAAACATAGAAGGGATGAAAGGAAGCCACATAATGAAATACTTCATATATCAGCGGAAAGAAATCAATGAAATAATAAATTCAGCTGAAGCTCATAAACAAGGGAACAAGATTGGAAAGAGCAGTAGGTTGGGCTTCTGTGACACTGGTTTTTCACCCGGACTTTTCTACCTTTAATTCCTTGAATTTCAGTTTCTTTCTTTATCCTAAGAGCTCTTTATGTTAGGGAATGTATTTGGATCTATGTGTGGGTGATCCACAGAAAGTGTTTGGTCCTTCACCTTCTTCCCAGGATCTCATTTTTCAGATGGATTCTTTTCTTTTACCATCCCAGCTCCTACATCTCTGTTCAACCTTCTTGGGGTCCTCTTATTCTAGAGTGTTTAGGTGTTTAAGGACAAATACAAATTTAAAATATGGCTTCATTCTCCATGTTGAAAACAAATGAAGAGATTTTTCTTCCTCTCTTTTTTCTCAGACAATTTACCACAGAAAGTGTGGAACTGTGAGTTTCTTCCCATCTTTTTGAAATGTATGTAAATCTTTTTGAAGACTACACTGGCCTTTTGTCAGCTAGACTTTTATTCCCTTAATAACCCAGGAATGTCTTTCTCACAAATTTGGAAGGCAACAGGAGATAGCATTCCCATACCCCAATTTCTTTTGGAAGGTGCGAGTCTAATTTCAGTAGGCTCCTTGCTCCAAGTGGAAAAACTACCTCTTGTCACAAAGAGATAGGTTTGTTTTTTTCTCCAGATAATATTAATTGAGTAACACAGATGGCCACTTCAATTACCAGGTAAAGTTTGGATAAATTATCTGTGAAAAATAGTGTTGTCAAACCCTCTTACTTAAAGACTAGTTATTGTTTATCTTGAAAATATGCATTCAATATTTATATTAAAAAGGAAGATTTTTGTTATTGCAATCTCTTAGTGGATTGCTTATGATGTGCATCACATTCTGGTTTAATGCTTATTCAATAATAAAGGTTGTTTTTTTATTTTTTTCTCTACTATCTTTGGGAAGAAGTTTTCTAGGCAGGGGGACTTTGTATTTAATATATGACTCCAATAGGTGCCCATCATTCTTTTCCTGTCTACCCCTTGAAAATTAACATCTATCAATACACTTTGTGGCAGGATTCATAAGATAAATGTATGCTTTTAGGAAAGAGGTAAACTTATAATGCACTTAATTTGAGAGTGTTGCTTTATTCAGTCTCAACAGTTGACATTTTAAAGTTGCATTTGTAATTGTTGTGCTAAAATTTTTGAGAATTTTTTTTGGTTTGTGGGTTGTTTTGCTTGATTCCATGTAAATAAAGATCAGAATTCAACTTGAGTTTCTGCCCTGAAAAAAAAAAAAAAAGGTTGTGATCCATTTAATGATGTTTAAATGACATCTGGAAATTTTTCCAAGTGGAAAAAATAGCAATTTTGGTATTTTTATTGGTATACAACATCTGAATGCTAAATATTTGCAGTCTACATAACAGAAGAATTGTCATGTTCTACTGAAATCATCATCCTTCTATAACAAAATGTTTCATTGGAGGTCACTGAAACCATGGAAACCACCTGACAACATATTTTCTCCCACCAGCTGTACATATTGATAATAATTGGACTTTGACAGATATTTCCTGAATGAAGTGATGCATCTCCCTTAAGAGACAGAGACTAACAGTCATATTAGTGATTATACTAATTCATGGACAACAGCAAAACAAAGAAGGCCAGGTGGCAACGGATATACAGGAAATAGTGAGGGTTATGGAGGGCTAAGTTCTCTGTGGTAAATAACTAATATGTTTTGGGAATACAGAGAGCTTAACAAAATTAACAGAGATGTCATTGCAATGGTAAGATGGAGAATGTAAATGACTTGAGTTTCATGTCACAAGCCATCTATAATTGGAAGTGACTGATTAGAGCACTGTGTTAAGGAAGATTCTGAGGTCATGTCTGTTACAAGTGTAGAGGCAAAGAGTAGCAGCCTATGGGTCATTTATTTGCTATTCCTAACTTAAAAGCTCCTTTTGTAACTCATGCCTTGGTTAGACCTATTGACAGAGTATAGGTTGTCCTGGTCTGCAACAGAAAGCCAAGAAATGACCACAACTGGTTAGATGAGAAAATCTAGCAGACTATAGCATGAGGAACTTTTGACCGCAGAGGGCAAGACCAAGATGGCTGACTAGAGGCAGTGGCGATTAGAAGGTCCCATAGAAAAGATCAGAAACAAAGTGCAAATCCTGCACCAGCAACTGAGGTATCCAGATTCTATTATTAGTACTGACTAGGTGGCTGGCGTGACCCACATAGAAAAAGGAAGAACTGTGTGGTGCAGCAGCCTACCTGAGAGCCACATGGGGCAGGGGAGCCCCCACTCCCAGCCAAGGGAGGTGGTAAGTTAGCATGCTACCCAGCCTGGGAAACCGTGTCTTTTCCATAGAACTGTGTAACCCACGGATGGGAAGATCCCACTCGTGAGACTACGCCCACACCACTGGGACCTTGAGTCCAAACCACTGAGTTGCACAGATTCTCAACAGCCATGCAGCTAGAACTGGCCTAAGCCTGCCAAGTTGGCAGGCAGGGAAGAGAGGTGCCATCACCACTGAGGTGCTGCCTGCTATTTAAGTGGAACTGAGCTCCTTGGGGGAGGAGCACAACCAACACTGGAGAAACTATAGGAACTCTAACTCCAGCCAGGGGCACAGGGACAGAACTCTGATTTCCCTGGGCCTGAGCCCCTAGCAGGAGGGGAGGCCATAGTCTCCGTGAACCAGCACAATCTTTCCTCCTGCTAGCTCTGAGGAATCCAGGCAGTCCAGATGAGTTGACTTCCCCTCAGCACAGCACATCGCCTCCACCAAGGGACAGCCAAAGTGCCTCATTAAACAGGTTCTGCTTGCCAGACCACCCAAATGAGTGAGAACCCCCAACAGTGGTTGTCAGACATCTAAACAGAAGCATTCTTATTAGCATCTGGTTGGTGCCCCTTGAGGTCAGAGACACCCATCTTCACAATTCTACAGCCTCTTTGAGTGACATCTCCAGGCATGGGAGCAAACTGGATGAATAGGCCTGAAGTGAGCCCCCAGCAAACTGCAGCATTCCTACAAAAGAGTTGCCTAACCTGACTGTTGAAAGAAAAACAAACAGAAAGCAACAACAACGGCATCAACAAAAAAAAAAAGTCCGCACAAAAGCCTCATCCAAGGGTTAGCAGTCTCAAAGATCAAAAGTAGAAAAACTCATGAAAATGACAAAGAATCAACAAAAGAACACTGAAAACCCAAAAGTCCAGAGTGGCTCTTCTCCACCAAATAATCACAACACCTCTCCAGCAAGGGCACAGAATTGGACAGAGGATGAGATTGATGAAATTACACAAGTACGCTTTAGAAGGTGAGTAATAACAAACTTCACACAGGTAAAGGAGCATGTTCTAACCCAATGCAAAGAAGCAAAGAATCTTGATAAAAGGTTAAAGGAGCTGCATAACTAGAATAATCAGTTCAGAGAGGAACATAATTGGCCTGATGGAGCTGAAAAACACAGCAGGGAAACTGTGAAGCATACGCAAGTATCACTAACCAAATCGACAAAGCAAAAGAAAGGATGTCAGAGATATGAGAGATGGAAGACTATCTTGCTGAAATAAGGCAGGCAGATGAGATTAGACAAAAAAGAATAAAAAGGAACAAACAAAACCTCCAAGAAATATGGGACTATGTAAACAGACTGATTGGAGTACCTGGAAAGAGATGAGGAGAATGAAACCAAGTTGGAAAATACACTTCAGGAAATTATCCAGAAGAATTTCCCCAACCTAGCCAGACAGGTCAACATTGAAATTTAGGAAATACAGAGAACCCCACTAAGATGCTCCATGAGAAGATCACCTCCAAGACATATAATCATCATATTATCCAGGTCAAAATGAACGGGAAAAAAAAATGTTAACAGCAACTAGAGAGAAAGGCTGGGTCACCTACTAAGAAAAGCCCATGACACTAACAGTGTATCTCTCAGAAGAAACCCTACAGCCAGAAGATAGTGGGGACCAATATTCAACATCCTTAAATAAAACAATTTTTAACTCAGAATTTCATATCTGGCCAAACTAAGCTTCATAAGCAAAGAAGAAACAAAATCCTTTTCAGATAAGCAAATGCTGAGGGAATTTGTCAATACCAGGCCTGCCTTGCAAGAGCTCCTGAAGGAAGTACCAATTATGGAGAGAGGAAAAAAAAGAACCTATACCAGACACTGAAAAACACATGAAAATGTAAAGACCAATGACACTATGAAGAAACAGCATCAACTAGTGTGCAAAATGACCAGCTAGCATCATGATGACAGGGCAAATTCACAAATAGCAAAATTAACCTTAAATGTAAATGGGCTAAATGCCCCAATCAAAAGACACAGACTGACAAATTGGATAAAGAGTCAATACCCATCAGTGTGCTCTATTCAGGAGACCCATCTCATGTGCAAAGACACACATAGGCTCAAAATAGAGATGTAGGAACATTTACCAAGCAAGTGGAACGTTGAAAAAAGTAGGGTTTGCAATCCTGGTCTCTGATAAAACAGATTTTAAACCAACAAAGATAAAAAAAGATAAAGAAGGGCATTACATTATGGTAAAGGGATCAATGCAACAAGAAAAGCAAACTATCCTAAATATATATGCACCCATACAGGCACACCAGATTCATAAAACAAATTCTTAGAGACCTACAAAGAGACTTAGACTCCCACACAATAATAGTGGGAGACTTTAACACCCAACTGTCAATATTAGGCAGATCAAACAGGCAGAAAATTAACAAGGATATTCAGGACTTGAACTCCGCTCTGGATCAAGTGAACCTAAAAGAGTTCTACACAACTCTTCAGCCCAAATTAACAGAATATACCTTCTTCTCAGTGCCACATGGCACTTATTTTAAAATCAACCATGTCATTGAAAGTAAAACATTCCTCAGCAAATGCAAAAATACTGAAATCCTAACAGTCTCTTGGACCAAAGTGCCATCAAATTAGAACTCAGGATTAAGAAACTCACTCAAAACCACACAATTTCATGGAAATTTAACAGCCTTCTCCTGAATGATTCCTGGATAAATAATGAAATTTAGGCAGAAATCAAGAACTTCTTTGAAACTAATGAGAACAAAGAGACAATGTACCAGAATCTCTGGGATGCAGCTAAAGCAGTGTTAAGAGAAAAATTTATAGCAATAAATGCCTATATCAGAAAGCTAGAAAGATCTCAAATTGACACACTAACATTACAATTCACAGAACTAGAGAAGCAAATGCAAACAAATCCAAAAGCTAGCAGAAGACAAGAAATAACTAAGATCAGAGTGGAACAGAGGAGATGGAGACATGAAAAACCCTTCAAAAAAAAATCAATGAATCCAGGAGCTGATTTTTGAAAAAATTAATAAAATAGATAGACTGCTAGCTAGACTAATAAAGAAAAGAGAATAATCAAATAGACACAATAAAAATGACAAAGGGAATATCACCACTGACCACACAGAAATATAAACTGCCATCAGAGAATACTGTAAACAGCTCTACACAAATGAACCAGAAAATCTAGAAGAAATGGATAAATTCCTAGGCATATACACCCTCCCAAGGCTAAACCAGGAAAAAGTCAAATACCTGAATAGACCAATAGCAAGTTCTGAATTTGAGGCAATAATTAATAGCCTACCAACCACCCCAGAACCAGATGAATCCACAGCCAAATTCTACCAGACATACAAAGAGGAGCTGGTACCATTCCTTCTGAAACTATTCCATCCATCTCTTCATCTTAGAAGCTCAACATAGTATTGATGGAACATATCTCAAAATAATAAAATCTATTTATGAAAAACTCACAGCCAATATCATACTGAATGGGCAAAAACTGGAAACATTCCCTTTGAAATTCAGCACAATACAAGGATGCCTTCTCTCACCACTCCTATTCAATATAGTATTCCAAGTTCTGGCCACAGCAATCAGGCAAGGGAAAGAAATAAAGTGTATTCAAATAGGAAGAGAGGAAGTCAAATTGTCTTTGTTTGCAGATGACATAATCCTATATTTAGAGAACCCCATCATCTCAGCCTAAAAACTGCTTAAGCTGATAAGCAACTTCACTAAATTCTCAGGATACAAAATCAATGTGCAAAAATCACGAGCGTTCCTATACAACAACAACAGACAAGCAGAGAGCCAAATCATGAATGAACTCTCATTTACAATTGCTACAAAGAGAATAAATTACCTAGAAATACAGCTAATAAGGTATGTGAAGAACCCCTTCAAGGAGAACTATAAACCACTGCTCAAGGACATAAGAGAGCACACGAACAAATGGAAAAAAAATTCGTCCTCATGGATAAGAAGAATCAGTATAGTGAAAATCACCAAAATGCCCAAAGTAATTTATAGATTAATTGCTATTCCCATCAAACTACCATTGACATTCTTCAAGAATTAGAAAAAACTACTTTAAAATTCATATGAAACCAAAAGAGAGCCCACACACCCAAGACAATCCTAAGCAAAAAGAACAAACTGAGTCATTACACTACCTGAATTCAAACTATACTACAAGGTTAGGAAAACAGCATGATAGTGGTCCAAGAACAGACGTATTGACCAAGGGAACAGAATGGAGACTTCAGAAATAGGACAACACATCTACAACCATCTGTTCTTCAGCAAACCTGACCCAAAAAAAGCAATAGGGAAAGAATTCCCTATTGAATAAGTGTTGCTGGGAAAACTGGCGAGCCATATGCAGAAAACAGAAACTGGATCCCTTCTTTATGCCTTATACAAAAATTAACTCAAGATGGATTAAAGACTTAAACCTAAAACCCAAAATCATAAAAACCCTAGAAGAAAACCTAGGCAATACCATTCAGGACATACACATGGGCAAAGACTTCATGACAAAAATGCCAAGAGCAATTGCAACAAAAGCTAAAATTGACAAATGGGATCTAATTAGGCTAAGAGCTTCTGCACAGCAAAATAACTATCATCAGATTGAACAGGCAATCTACAGAATGGGAGAAAAATTTTGTAATCTACCCATCTGACAAAGGCCTAATATCCAAAATTTGCAAGGAACTTAAATTTACAAGAAAAAAGCAACCCCATCCAAAAGTGGGCAAAGCATATAAAACAGACACTTCTTAAAAGATGACACTTACACAGCCAACAAACATAAGAAAAAAAAAAAGCTCAACATATGAAAAAAAGCTCAACATCACTGATCATTAGAAAAATGCAAATCAAAACAACAATGAGATACCACCTGATGCCAGTCAGAACGGCGATTATTAAAAAGTCAAGAAACAACAGATACTGGTAGGATTATGGAGAAATAGGAATGCTTTTATGTTTTTGGTGGAAATATAAATTAGTTTAACCATTGTGGAAGACAATGTGCTGATTCCTCAAGGATATAGAACCAGAAATACCATTTGACCCAGCAATCCCACTACTGAGTATATACCCAAAGCAATATAAGTCGTTCAATTATAAAGAAACATGCACATGTACGTTTAATGCACTTTTCACAATAGCAAAGATATGGATCGAACAAAAATGCCCATCCATGATACACTGGGTAAAGAAAATGTGGTACATACACACCATGGAGTACCATGCAGCCACTAAAAGGAATAAGATTATTTCCTTTGCAGGGACATGAATGAAGCTGGAAGCCATCATCCTCAGCAAAGTAACCCAGGAAAAGAAATCCAAACAACCCATGTTCTCACTCATAAGTGGGAACTGAACAATGAGAACATATGAACACAGGGAGAGGAAAACACACATCCAGACCTGTCAAAAGTGGGGGGTGGTGAGGGGAAGGAGAGCATCAGGACTAATAGCTAATACATGTGGGGCTTATAGCCTAGGGGACAGCTTGACAGGTGCAGCAAATCACAGTGGCACACATAAACCTATATAACAAACATGCATGTTCTGCATATGCATCCCAGAACTTAAATTTAAATAATAAAAATAATAAATAAAAATTTTAAAATAAAATTTTGACCATAAGAATCTAACTCACACAAAGTCACAAACTGGGAAAATTGAGAAGGGGACATCTGTTCAACAATTCTCCAAATTTAGGAGTTGAAGTACTTGGCTTAGAAAAAAAATAACGTAAATCTAACTTACATTTAAAAAGGAAAAGGTGGAGGAAAAAAGCAAAGCAGCATACTCATTTAGGGTCATAATAACCACCTAGGACATTTTTGAGAGAGTCATATCTCTTTTTGCTGGTTGGTTTCCAGTTCTTCCTTCAAACCTCAGCTTCCTATATAGACGGACCTGGAAGCTATGTTGGATACTGTAAATACAACTTCCTTATTTTCCTAAAAAGGAAAGAAAGTGACATCCAGAAACGTAAACTGCTTAAGATTACACAGCTTCTAAGCGACAGAGCCAAACCTAAAAGCCCTAAGACCAAAATAGTTCAGTTCTCTTTCATCTCATTATTTTGTGAGACTGACCTTTTTTGCCTTACTTGATCTGGAGTTCCTTTCTTCTGCAAACATGCACCTCACAGAAGGGCCTCACCAGGGCCCTGCATCTAGACCCGGAGGCATCTTTTAAGTAGATGGAGCTGAGCATACGCACCCACCTGGCTGAATGTCAAGACTCCAAGGGCTTCTTGCATGATTCTTTTTTTTTTTTTATATTGCATTTTAGGTTTTGGGGTACATGTGAAGAATATGCAAGATTGTTGCATAGGTACACACATGGCATTGTGATTTGCTGCCTTCCTCCCCATCACCTATATCTGGCATTTCTCCCATGCTATCTCATAGGAATCAGGTACCTGCCATCCCTCCAGCTGCTCTTTATAGATAACCAATGTCTCATCAGAAGGTTGGGTTAGATTTCCAATCTAGGAAAAGGCTCCATCCCATACCTACCATGTGATACCAGGCCCAAAAACAGTTGATGCCCCTCAAGGAATTTCCCAGATCTTCTATTATACTCTCCCATGGGTCCTCATCTCCTTTTCCTGAATGTTCCTGGACATAGAAATTATGACTTATTGATTGAATTTTCTTTCCACTTTTAATGAGGTTGACTAAATTAAATACTTAGGACATGGCATCCCAGTTTTAAGTCAAGACTTACGAAATGAAATTCAGTGGTCAACACTGGAAACTCAATAGAGCCTTACCCCTTCTCCACAACTGAGAATGCTTTAGCACAGAGTTTCACACACTCCTCTTAGACCAATCATAGCTTCTTAGCAAGCTTAGGACTCACGGGACTTTGTGCTGTAGCACTCATTTTTTACATATTAGGATGTGACAACTCTAGAACATACCATTCCTCTTTTGGTCATGAGCTGGGGTCAATCTGAGAGAGACTAGTTCATACATCTTCTCATGCTATACATGTGTAAAATAACATACTCCAAGTTTATCTAAGACACAATGCTATAGACCTTATGTTACATTGTCCAAATATAGAATATTCCAGAGCACAAACATGAAAATGTTGGCTAACATTTTACTACTACTCCTTAGTTTATGTTGGCCACTAAGAAACCATGGGATTTGGTGTGTACAAAGTTACCTACACCCACATAAATAATATTAGTAACGGGAACTCTCCTGGAAGATGAACACTTTTAATATCTCATGGCACACCATGCCAGACAGCAAAGTGTCCTCCACCTATCTTTGGACATTCTCAGGATATGTAATATTCTCTCGGAGTCCTAACAGAGGCACACTTGCAGCCTCATATTCTCTACAATGCAACAAATTGAGATCCTGGGTGCTTTCTACCAGGCTTCAGCATTACAGTGAAAGAACTTCTTATCTCCCTAAGTTCACCCCTGCAAGAGAGCATCAGAAAGAACAAGCAGCTGTAGGAATGCAGTAAAGAATTACAAGCAATCAGCTCTTCTACAGCTGCTAGGAGCCAGGGGACTGAAATTTTTTATCTTTCATCTTATAAAGATGCTTTAAAATCAAGAGACCAGGATATATTCTAGAGATCAGGACAGCAGGAAAACTTTTTCTCTCGCCCTTTCAGCCCATTAATAGAAGCCCAGACATCTTACCCCAAAACTGCAGGTTATATTGAGAGACATAAATGGCCATTTACTTTTTGTGCAGCTTGTTAAGAAGAAGACCCCAGGGCCATCTTCTATACATCTGCAAGTTTTGAGAAGCAGAAAAGAAACATCACATAAAGTGAGCACCATGAGAAAGCAGCCACAACAGAAATTACATCAAAGGTGTGGATGACAAGAGCCATTTACAGGCTGATAACTTAAAGACCCAACAGCAGGAAGAAGACAAAAGAAAGCAAGAGAGAGACCCTGCCCCAAGTAAAGATAGAGCAGGCAAGAGATTGCCGAAAAGAAAAGAGCACATCAAGAACGGGTTCCAACAATGAGTTTTGCAAGGAGGTCAGCAAAGCCACGGACACAAAGACATTACAGAGGGAAGCTATAAACCCCTGGCAAGACCCATAGGGAGATGACAGAAGAGCAGACATGAAGGCAACTAGACTGATGCTGGCCTGGCCTTGACTGACCCAAGCACCTCATCAACTCTCTGTGTAAGAAAGACTGTTACTAACAACTAAATCACCTTTATATAACATGTTCAAAGTAAGGCATATTCATTGAAATAATATTTAATTGTTTTACTGAATTTATTAGTCACATTTTTCTCCCCAAAGAATAGGTATGTCGTATGCTTGGTGCCCTGTGGCTGATGGAAACCCACAGCCATAGTCTCAACAGGTCACACTAGTATAGCTGCAGCTGTAACATGCAGAGTCAAGAAGACATTACAGGAAGCACCTGCATGCAGAGAAAGTCTCTGCTTCAGTCAGGCCTGACTGGTGGAGTCCTAGATTGCTGCCAGTTTTGCTGTAAGATTTTCTTTCCTCTAAAACAAAGGTTGACAAACTCTGGTGGCATATGGATCAAATCAGCCAGCTGCCTGATTTTTTTAAATAAAGCTTTATTGATGCACAGCCACACCCTTTCATCTACCTATTATCTGTGGCTACTTTCTCACTATAATGACAAACACTAGTACACTTTCCCCACTGTTTCCATCCTTTCTCCTTCTTGTCCTCTCCCTCTTTCCGTTTTTAGAGCTATTATCCAGCCATAATCAACTCCAGGAAGTGTCTGGGTCCCCATCTAAACAGGCAGTCTGGAACTCAGATGCCACCATAAGTTTATTCTAATTTTGCTTTGGAGTGGGGGGACTTTTTGTTGTTGGTTTGGTCTCATTGCATTTATTAAATTAAGAAATATTGCTTTTGGTAGCAAGTCAAAGAATATTGAGGTATCTATCTAAAGAAAGAGTTAAGAATCTTTCCTTTCTTACTGACAAGTGGTATAAAAAAAATTATCTCCTTTCCCTCCATTCTAATTCTTGAAGTCCAAAATGTTAATATTTATTCCTTCCACACTTTTTGCTACAGGTGGCTTTTTAAAAAAAATCTGTATTATTACACTGAGAGAAGAAAATACTTAATATTTAACATACAGAGCACATTAATCCACTCGATAAATATTTTTGAAAACATCTATGTTTCACGTACTATGCTGAGTGCTGAAATACCAACTTAAAATTCTCTAAGATAGATACCCGAATATCAAATAATATCCATTGTTTCTTTTTATAGAATAAAGAGCCCTGCTATACTTAATAAGATCATGATGGTTTGCACACACCAGCTAGCTAAACCAAGGACAGGAGACATTAGACACAGCAGAGCTAACAGGTAGCTGAAAGTAATCTATTTTCCAGATTGAGAAAGAAAATCAACTAAAAAGCCAGAGTATAAAAAGAATGAATCAGTAGGTACATTAGGATATTATTTCATAAATAAGTATGTAATTTTATTGCATAAATAAATACCTAAGACTGGGTAATTTATAAAGAAAAGAGTTTTAACTGGCTCATTTTTCTGCAGGCTGTGCAGGAAGCACAGTACTGGAATCTGCTTCAGGGTGACCCCATTAAGCTTTTACTCATGGCAGAAGGCAAGAGGGAGCAGGCATGTCACATGACAAAAACAGGAGCAAGCAGTTGGAGGGAGAAGTGCCACACATTTTTAAGCTACCAGATCTTGTGTAAACTCAGAGTGAGAGCTCACTTATCATTAAGAGGATGGCTTAAGCCATTCATAAGGGATCCACCCCCGTGATCCAAACACCTCCCACTAGGCCTCACCTCCAACACCAGGGATTATATTTCAATATGAGATTTGTGTGGGTAAAATATTCAAACTATATTATTCTGACCTGGCCCCTCCCAAAGCTCATATTCTTCTCACATTTTGAAATACAATAATGCCTTGTCAATATTCCCCTAATGCCTTAACTTGATCCAGGATTAACTCAGAATCCAAAGTCTAAAATCTCATCTGAGATGAGGCAAATGCCTTACACCTATGAGCTTGTAAAATCAAAAACAAGTTAGTGACTTCAAAGATACAATGGGGGTATGTAAATGGGGTAAACACCCCTATTCCAAAAGGGAGAAATTGGCCAAAATAAAGGGGTTACAGTCCCCATGCAAGTTCAAAACCCAGCAGGAAAGTCATTAAATCTTAAAGCTCCAAAATAATCTCCTTTGATTCCATGTCCCACATGTAGAGAATACTGGTACAAGAGATGGGCTCCCATGCTCTACTCCTATGACTTTGCAGGGTTGAGCCCCCAAGGCTGCTCTCATAGGTTATTGAATATCTGTGGCTTTTCCAGGTACAGGGCGCAAGCTGTCAGTGCATCTAACATCCTTGGGTCTGGAGAGCAGTGGCCCTCTTCTTACGCTCCACTAGTCAGTGACCCAGTGGGGACTCCATATAGAAGCTCCAATTCCACATTTCCCCCTTGGCACTCTCCAAATAGAGGTTCTCTGTGGGGGCTCCACCTTTGTAGCAGGCTTCTGCATGGGCACCCAGGGTTCTCCACACATTCTTTGAAATCTAGGCAGAGGCTGCCAAATATTCTTTGCTCTTGCATTCTGCAAAAGACAGGCTTACTACCACATGGAAACTGCCAAGGCTTACGGCTTGCATTCTGTGGAGGTATAGCCCAAGCTATACCTGGGACCCTTTGAGCCATGGCTGGAGCTGGAGCAGTCAGGATGTGGGGAGGAGTGTTCCAAGGCTGAAAAAGGTAGCCAAAGTTTCACAAGGCAGCTATATTCATCCATTTTCATACTGCTATTAAGAAATACCCAAGACTGGGTAATTTATAAATAAAAAGAGGTTTAATGGAGTCACAGTTCCACCTGGCTTGGGAGGCCTCACAATCATGGCAGAACGTGAAGAAGGAGCAAAAGCATCACATATCTTACATGACAGCAGGCAAGAGAGCATGTGCAGGGGAACTGCTCTTTATAAAATCATTACATCTTATGAAACTTATTCACTATCATGAAAACAGTGTGAGAGAAACCTGCTCACATGATTCAATTACCTCTCATCAAGTCCCTCCCACAACACATGGAAATAGTAGGAGCTACAATTCAGAATAAGATTTGGGTGGGGACATAGCCAAACTATATCATTCTGCTCCTGTCCTTCCCAAATCTCATGTTCTCATATTTCAAAACTAATCATGGCTTTTTAACAGTCTCTGAAAGTCTTAATTTATTTCATCATTAACTCTAAAGTTCAGTCCAAAGTCTCATCTAAGACAAGGCAATTTCCTTCTGCCTATGATCCTGTAAAATCAAAAGCAAGTAAGTGGCTTCCTAGATACAACAGGGATACAGGCATTGGGTAAATTTACCCATTCCAAATGAAAGAAATTGGCCAAAATGAAGGGGCTAAGGGCCCCATACAAGTCTGAAATCCAGTGGGACAGTCAAATCTTAAAGCTCCAGAATGACCTTCTTTGACTCCATGTTCCATATCTAGGTCACCCTGATGCAAGAGGTGGGCCGTCACGGTCTTGGGCAGTTACACCCCTGTCTGTGGCTTTTCAGGAGACAGCCCCTCTCCCAGCTGCTTTCACAGGCTGGTATTGAATGGCTGTGGCTTTTCTAGGCACATGGTGAAAGATGTTGATGGATCCACCATTCTGAGGTCTGGAGGACAGAGACCGTCTTCTCACAGCTCCACTAGGAAGTGACCCAGTGAGGACTCTGTATGGGGTTTTCAAACCCACAGTTCTCTTCTGCACTGCCCTAGCAAAGGTTCTCCATGAGGACTTCACCCCTGCAGCACACCTCTGCCTAAACATCCAGGCATTTCCAGACATCCTCTGAAATCTAGGCAGAGGTTCCCAATCCTTAACTCTTTATTTATGTGCACCTGTAGGCCCAACCACTATCAGAAGATTGTGGAATAATGTTGGATATGTCCTCCTCAAAGGTATATTGAAGCCCTAATACTCATTACCTGAGACTATAACCTTATTTAGAAATAGGGTCTTTCAGACGTAACAAGGTTAGAATAAGCCATACTCAATTAGGGTACACCCTAATCAGATATGACTAATGTCCTTATAAGAAAAAATGGGAATCATCAAATATGACCAAATAGAAACAGCTCTGGAGTGCAGTTCCCAGTGAGAACACAGAGGGTAAGTGATCACCACATTTCCAAATGAGTTTTTACTGCCCACAGACCAGGAGATTCCTGGGTGGAAAAGCACCCCTAGTCTCCAGCATGGCTATTTCAGCCAGCACAGCATGTCCTGGCACAAAATCTCACATAAATCTGGGCAGCTGTTTCAACTGGCACCTGCAATGCCTTGGAAATAGAATTGCCCTTGCAACTGAAAAAAAGGGGGCTGAAACAGGGAGCTAGGTGATCTGGCTTGGCGGGTCCCCCACAAAGACCAGCAATCTGAAACACTCTGGATAGAGTGTTTCACAGCAAGCACAACTGGACCTGGGACAGTCCAGCTCTGTGGGGATAAAGGCGTCTGCCATTACCAAGGCCGTCCACCACTACCGGGGCAGTCCGCCATTACAGAGACAGTCCACCATTACTAAGGAAGACTGCCATTACCGAGGCAGTTCTAACTATACCTCTATAAACAAAACTGCAAGGAAGTTTACACAGCAGCTGGGCACAGCCCATGGCAGCTCAGCAATGCCTCTGCTGGCAGACTGTGACTAGGCTACCTCCTCACTGGGTAGGGTATCTCTGAAAAAAGGCAGCAGCATGTCTGAAACTTATATATAAACCCTCACCTTCCCAGGACAGAGCATCTGGGGAAAATAGGCAGTTATGAGTTCTCCTGCATCAGACTTAAACTTACCTGCCCAGCAGCTCTGAACAGAAAAACAGAGCTCACAGCTCAGCACTTGAGCCCCTATAAGGAACAGACTGTATCCTCAAGCAGCTCCCCAATCCCCATATATCCAAAGAGACATTTCATAAAGGAGAGCTCAGGCTGACATCTGGTGGGTATCCTTCTGGGACAAGATAACAGAAGAAGAAACTGGCAGCAACACCATTCTGCAGCTGCCACAGGTGATCCCCAGGCAAGCAGGGTCTGGAGTGGACCTCTAGCAGTCCTACAGCAGAGGGCCTGACTGTTAGAAGGAAAACTAAAAAACAGAAAGAAATAACTTCATCATCAACAAAAAGGACATCCACTCAGTGACCCCATCCAAAAGTCATCAACTACAAAGACCACAGGTAGACAAATCCACAAAGATGGGAAGAGATCAGTGCAAAAAGATGAAAGCACCCCAAACCAGATGCCTCTCCTGCTCCAAGGGATCACAACTCCTCACCAGCAAGGGAACAAGGCTAGATGGAGAATGAGTCTGATGAATTGACAGGAACAGGCTTCAGAAAGTGAGGAATAACAAACTTCTCTGAGCTAAAAGAACAGGCTCTAACCCAATGCAAAGAAACCTAGAAAAAAGGTTTGACAAAATGCTAATGAGAATAAACAGCTTAGAGAAGAATATAAATGAATTGATGGAGCTGAAAAACACAACGTGAGAACTTCATGAAGCATACAAAAGTTTCAATACCCGAATCAACCAAGCAAAAGAAAGGATATCAGAGACTGAAGATCAACTGAATGAAATAAAATGGGAAGGCAAGATTAGAGAAAAAAGAGTGAAAAGAAATGAACAAAGCCTCCAAGAAATATGGGATTATGTGAAAAGTCCTAATCTACCTTTTATAGGCATATCTGAATGTGAGGGGGAGAGTGAATCCAAGCTGGAAAACACTCTTCAGGATATTATCCAGGAGAACTTCCCCAACCTAGCAAGCTAGGCCACCATTCAAGTCCAGGAAATACAGAGAACACCACAAAGATATTCCTCAAGAAGAGCAATCCCAAGGCACACAATTTTCAGATTGAACAGGATTGAAATGAAGGAAAAAATGCTAACAGCAGCCAGAGAGAAAGTCCGGGTTACCCACAAAGGGAAGCCCATCAGAATCACAGCAGATCTCTCAGCAGAAACCCCACAAGCCAGAAGAGAGTGGGGAACAATATTCAACATCCTTAAAGAAAAGAACTTTCAACCTAGAATTTCATAGCCAGCCTAACTAAGCTTCATAAGTGAAGGAGAAATAAAACCCTTTACAAACAAGCAATTGCTCAGAGATTTCATCACCAGCAGGCATGCCTTACAAGGTCTCCTGAAAGAAGCACTAAACATATAAAGGAACAACCAGTACCAGCCACTCCAAAAATGTACTAAATGGTAAAGAGCATTGATACAATGAAGAAACTGAGTCAACTAATGGGCAAAAAAAACAGCCAGAATCAAAATGGCAGGACCAAATTCACACATAACACTATTAACCTTAAATGTAAATGGGCTAAATGCTCCCATTAAATTACACAGACTGACAAATACGATAAAAAGTCATGAGCCATCGGTGTGCTGTATCCAGGAAACCCATCTCACGTGCAAGGACACACATAGGCTCAAAATAAAGGGATGGAGGAAGATTTACCAAGCAGATGGAGAGCAAAAAAAAAGCATGAGTTACAATCGTAGTCTCTGATCAAATAGACTTTAAACCAACAAAGATCAAAAGAGACAAAGACGGGCATTACATAACAGTAAAAGGATCAATGCAGCAAGAAGACTTAATGAACCTAAATATATAGGCACCCAATACAGGAGCAACCAGATACATAAAGCAAGTTCTTAACAACCTACAAAGAGACTTAGACTCCACACAATAATCGTGGGTGTCATTAACACTCCACTGTCAATATGAGACAGATCAACCAGACAGAAAATTAACAAGGATATCTAGGACTTGAGCTCAGATCTGGACCAAGCAAACCTATTAGACATTTACAGAAATCTCCACCCTAAATCCACAGAATATACATTCTTCCAGGAACCACATCACACCTACTCTACAAGTGACCACATAATTGGAAGTAAATCACTCCTCAACAAATGCAAAAGAATGGGAATCATAACAAACAGTCTATCAGACTACAGTGCAATCAAATTAGAACTCAGGATTAAGAAACTAACTCATAACTGCACAACTTCATGGAAACTGAACAACTGGCTAATGAATGTTGACTGGACAAACAATGAAATGAAGGCAGAAATAAAGATGTTCTTCAAAACCAATGAGAACAAAGACACAACGTACCAGAATCTCTGGGACACATTTAAAGCACTGTCTAGAGGAACATTTATAGCAATAAATGCTCACAGGAGAAGCAAGGAAACATCTAAATTAAACGCCCTATCATCAAAATTGAAAGAGCTAGAGGAGCAACATCAAAAAAAAAAAGTCTCAAAGGCTAGCAGAAGACAAGAAATAACTAAGATCAGAGCAGAACTGAAGGAGTCAGAGACACAAAAAAACCCTTCAAAAAATCAATAAATCCAGGAGCTGACTTTTTGAAAAGATCAACAAAAGAGACAGACCACTAGCCGAATAATAAAAAAGAAGAGGAAGAAGAATTAAATAGATGCAATAAAAAATTATAAAGGGGATATCACCACCGATTCCACAGAAATACAAACCACCATCAGAGATTACTACAAGCCATTCTATGCATATAAACCAGTAAACCTGGAAGAAATGGATAAATACCTGGACACTTGCACCCTCCAAAGCCTAAACCAAGAAGAAGTCAAAACCCTGAATAAACTAATAACAAGGTCTGAAGTTGAGGCAGCAATTAATAGCCTACCAACCAAAAAAAGCCCAGATCCAGATGGGTTCACAGCTGAATTCTACCAGACATACAAAGAGGAGATGGTACCACTGCTTCTGAAACTATTCCAAACAATCCAAAAAGAGGGAATCCAACCCAAATCATTTTATGAGACCAACGTCATCCTGATATCAAAACCCAGCAGAGACTCAACAACAAGAGAAAACTTCAGGCCAATATCCATGATGAACATAGATGCAAAAATCTTCAATAAAATACTGGCAAACTGATTGCAAAGACAATAAACAGAGCCAAAGACAAAAAGCACATGATTATCTCAATAGATGAAGAGAAGGCCTTCAACAAACTTCAACAGCCCTTTATGCTAGAAACTCTCATAACACTAGGTATAAATGGAATATCTCAAAATAATAAAAGCTATTTACGACAAACTCACAGCCACTATCATACTGAATGAGCAAAACTGGAAGCATTCCCTTTGAAATCTGGCACTAGATAAGGATACCCCCTCTCTCACCATTCCTATTCAATATAGTATTGGAAGTTCTAGCCAGAGCAATCAGGCAAGAAAAAGAAATAAAGGGTATTCAATTAGGAAAGGAGGAAGTCAAATTGTCCCTATTTGCAGATGACATGATTGTATATTTAGAAGACCCCATTGTCTCAGCCCAAAATCTCCTGAAACTGATAAGCAACTTCAGCAAATTCTCAGGATACAAAATCAATGTGCAAAATTCACAAGCATTCCTATACACCAATAACAGACTTAAAGCCAAATCAAGAACGAAGTGCCACTCACAATTGCTACAAAGAGAATAATATACCTAGGAATACAACTAACAAAGGAGGTAAAGGACCTTTTCAAGGAGAACTACAAACCACTGCTCAACAGAAATAAGAGAGTACACAAACAGATGGAAAAAGATTCAATGTTCATGGTTACGAAGAACGAACATTGTGAAAACGACCATACTGCCCAAAGCAATTTATAGGCTCAATGCTATCCCCATCATGCTACTTATGACCATCTTCACAGAACTGGAAAAAACCAACTTAAACTTTCTATGGAACCAAAGGAGAGCCTGCATAGCCAAGACAATCCTAAGCAAAAAGAACAAAGCTGGAGGCATCACGCTACCTGACTTCAAACTATACTACAAGACTACAGTAATCAAAACAGCATAGTACTGGTGCCAAAACAGAAACATAGACAAATGGAACAGAACAGAGGCCTCGGAGGCAATGCCACACATCTGCAACTAGCTGATCTTTGACAAACCTCACAAAAACAAGCAATGGGGAAACGATTCCCTGTTTAATAAATGGTGTTGGGAAAAGTGGGTAGCCATGTGCAGAAAGCAGAAACTGGACCCCTTCCTGACACCTTACACTAAAATTAACTCCAGATGGATTAAACACTTAAACACAAGACCTACCACCATAAAAACTCTAGAAGAAAATCTAGGCAAAACCTTTCAGGACATAGGTATAGGCAAGGACTTCATAACTAAAACACCAAAAGCAATGGCAACAAAAGCCAAAATAGACAAATGGGATCTCATTCAACTCCAGAGCTTCTGTACAGCAAAAGAAACAATCATTAGAGTGAACTGGCAACCAAAAGAATGGGAAAAAAAAATTGCCATCTACCCATCTGACAAAGGGCTAACATTTAGAATCTACAAAGAACTAAAACAGATTTACAAGAAAAAAAAGAAACAACCCCATCCAAAAGTGGGCAAAGGATATGAACAGACACTTTTCAAAAGAAGATATATATGATGCCAACAAACATATGAAAAAATGCTCATCATCACTGGTCATTGGAGAAATCCAAGTCAAAACTACATTGAGATACCATCTCACACCAGTTAGAATGGCGATCATTAAAAAACCTGGAGACAACAGATGCTGGAGAGGATGTGGAGAAATAGGAACACTTTTACACTGCTGGTGGGAGTCTAAATTAGTTCAACCATTGTGGAAGACAGTGTGAAGACTCCTCAAGGACCTAGAAATAGAAATTCCATATGACTCAGCAATCTCATTACTGCATATATATCCAAAGGATTATAAATCTTTCAATTATAAAGACACATGCACAAATATGTTCACTGCGGCACTATTTACAATAGCAAAGACCTGGAACCAACCCAAATGCCCATCAATAACAGACTGAATAGAAAAAAGTGGAACATATATACCATGCAATACTATGCAGCCATTAAAAAATGATGAGTTTATGTCCTTTGTAGGGACATTGATGAATCTGGAAACATCATTCTCAGCAAACTGACACAAGAACAGAAAATCAAACACCGCATGTTCTCACTCATAGGCAGGTGTTGAACAATGAGAACACATGGACACAGGGAGGGGAGCATCACACACTGGCGTCTGTTGGGGAGGGGAGTTAAGGGAGGAACAGTGGAAGGTAGGGATTTGGGGAGGGATATCATGGGAAGAAGTGCCAGATATAGGTGATGGGGAGGAAGGCAGCAAACCACATTGCCATGTATGTACCTATGCAACAATCCTGCATGATCTGCACATGTACCCCAGAACCCAAAGTGTAATAAAATATTTATATTAAAAAAATAGAAAAAAATTAATGTAAAAAAAGAAGCAGCAGATAGAGACATAGAGAAGAAGCTCATGTGAATACAGAGGCAGAGACTGGAGTAAAGCACTCAAGCCAAGAATTGCCAAAGACACCAGAAGCTAAGAGAAAGTCATGGAACGGAATCTCCCCTAAAGGCTTCAGAGAGAGCATGGACCTGCCAATACCTTGACTTTGGACTTCTAACTTCCCCAACTGTGAAAGAAAAAATTCTATTGTTTTAAGCCACTCATTTTTTGCTAATTTCTTATGGCAGCCTTACAAAACTCATACTGTCTGTACAGGATCTGTAAAGAATTGGCCCAAACTGTTTCCACCACACTGAGCCCAGCACTCTTCTCCCACCTTGAGGGTATAAAAATGTCAAAAGTGAAAAGTGCAGAACTTGTTCAATGTACTCTGAGCCTCAACCCCATGTGCCCTCAGTAAGAATCTGATGAATGAATCAATGCAGAATAAGGTTATCTTCATGCCCTAGGTGACATGTAATCAATCACCTGCTACGCTCACAATCAGCCCAAAACCTACGAAACTGGACTCGTAGGAGACTGGATCAAAATGACTAGAGGTTAAATTTTCCAGGAACGGATCCTCTTATTCAAGAGTCCTAAAAACATTTTCCTCAAGTCCAAGAAAAGGATTTGGCTGATAAAACTCCTAGGAGTGTCAGCCACTCAGGAAAATGGAATTGTCATGCAGCACTGCTGTAGCCAGATGCAGTTTTCAGAGGATCACAGAAGGAGAGTGGACCCAGCTGGCCTCTGGCCACCCCTAGCATGCATTGTCATTCACACCAGGCTGTGCTGGACTGTTTCAGAACACAAATACCCTTTAATTCCTAAAGAGAATTTAGCCATGGACTCTGAGGACTGCAGTAACAGAGACCTTGAGAACAAAGCACAAGCAGAAGCACACACAGAAAGTGGGAGGGAGGGGAAAAAGGAAGAGAATCCTTCTGGTCCATGACAGCAATTTCACTGACTTAATTTGTTGCCCTTGCTCAGGAGCCACCTACTTCATATACAGATATTCAGTGGTGCTTCAAATCTCTCAGATCTTCTGTGTGAGTATGTGAGCTGTGGTGTGTGGAATGGTGTTGTATGTGAATGGTGCAGTATATATGTATGGTGTGTGTGTGCATGAGTGTGGTAAGTGGAATGGTTCAGCGTGTATGTGGGGTGTGTGCATGGGGAGGGTGGGTGTGGGGAAACAGAAGTTTGTTACTGAAATCCTTTAGGATTTCCTAGGTTCAGGTGGAGCAAAACCAGT